ATTATTATTATTATTATTATTACACCCGGCAGCAAGGTCTCTAAATTGCTGTTGTTCCCAGGTCCACCCTGACCAAGGTTGGTAACACCTATTAGCTATGGGCAAATAGTTGACCTCCAAACTAAACCAAAGAATACACATTCTATTCATACGAACCTATCCTAAAATATTGTCGGCATTAAATAAGCCATTGAGGTTGAGTTGCCGTAAAACAAAATGAACCAAAGCAAATTAAATCAAAAGCTACATATTCTATTCATACGAACCTATCCTAAAAAAAACTAAAGCAAACCTTCCAAAGATAGGATGCTAAAATCATAGATAAAGTAAAAGAAAAACGCGTATAGCTATTATCCCGTGCGTCCTTAAGAGTTGTGACATTAAAAATTTTTGTCTGTTATTGAGGGCTTGTTAATAATATAAAATATATAATACAGTGTAACCCGGATATAAGAGAAACCCGGATATAAGAGAGATTTTCTCTGGTCCCAAATTAGAGCCTGTGTTAAAGTTTATAAAATAGACCAAACCCGGATATAAGAGACTTCTTCTCCGGTCCCGACAACTCTTTTATATCCGGGTTACACTGTACATATTTTTAAGATCACATTCCCCCGCAGAATGGACGCACCCCAGACTTGGCTAAAAAAAAAAAAAAAAAATTGCTTTTGGCGATTAACGTAACGGAAAAAGACTTCCAACGAATTGCAAAGGAGTTATTAAAAATGTCAAGATGGAACCATTTAATATTTGGAATCAAAACTCACATAGGTGTATCTCTAGGAAACACTATGATATATATATATATATATATATATATATATATATATATATATATATATATATATATATATATACATATATATATATATATATATGTATGTGTGTGTGTGTGTGTGTGTGAAAGGTTATTTGAACCATTTTAGTCTCATATTTCTTTCACAAGAACGAAGCTGACGTGTTTTTAAACACATAATGAGGCATTACCAATCCATCGCATATGAACTGCAATTATACATCACAGATGTTAAGAAAAAAACAACTTTTATGCGCTGTTTTTTGGGAGATGGACAAAAAAAAACTTCGTTCTCTCAAGCAAAAATAATCCCTTATTTTTTTTTAGCACATTTACTTGATTAAACAATATATTTACTATTTTGTCTAACTATCTATTTGCCATCTTTCAAAACAAATTTATGATTTCAACCGCCCAGAACATTTTATTTTCTCAGTGCAGATGGCTTCTGCAGTCTTCCAGGGAAATTTAATTTTTTTATCATTAATAATAATGCTGGGCTAATTTTCTCACTGATGAAGAAGAGACCTGAAACAATACAAATGTGATTCTACAGAAGAATACTGAGGATTCCATTGACCGAACGAGTGAACAACGACGAAGTTTTTGAGAAAATGGAAACAAAATGGAAAATTATACTTAACATCGGGAAGAGGCAATTGAAATTTCTGGGGCAAGTACTAAGGAAGGAGGGCTTGGAAAATCTAATAATCACGGGACAGATTGAGGGAATAAGAGAAAAGCTCGCGTAACATATTTGACGGGCTTCAGTAAATGGATAGTAGAACAGGAAAGTGTGGAGGACCATGATCACCTAAGCCCTGAAGGGACACGGCACATAAAAGGAGATTAGTTTAAAGCGTACCGAAGTCTTAAAAAGATGTCTTAATCGACAACGGGGTCATCGTAATTTTGGGGAAAGTCATGTTGCTATATGGATCAGTTATGCCATGAACTTCGCTGTAAAAATATGATTTTCCAATGATTAAATGAGTGAAAAAAGACGTGAAAAAATAAGTTAGATAAAGCATAATTTCATGGCTTACTGTCTGTGTTTCGTTCTCTGCTTGCAATAAAAGAAGACCCACTGGATAAATATACAAAAGGGCGCACCCCCATAAAAAACACATATGATGTTGAAATCTCAAGTGACATCTGCTTGCATGTGCAAATCTGTTTATAATTCAGACCCGTTGCTTATACTCACTTTTCCACCTGGAGATACAATAGCATCCTTCCTAAGATACACGTGAAAGAAATTTGATTATCTATCTATCTATCTATCTATCTATCTATCTATCTATCTATCTATCTACGAACTCAAGTCTATCCACCACACCCGCGTATGCACACTTATATATATATATATATATATATATATATATATATATATATATATATATATATATATATATATATTTGAATTTGTAGGTCTGATGAATTGGATCGTATTTACGATTCCAATGGAATAAATTATGACCATTGAATATTAGTGTTTATTAGTGTTTTAAGCCTTTTATTATATCCTTACTTTGTCCTTGACATTGAGTTCTACCTGGATTCTATCCTATTGGAATTATTTTTTATACATATATATATGTGTATGTATGTATATATATTTATATATTTTAGATATGTGATTGCATATGTATGTGTATATATACCACTGATATTATATATATATATATATATATATATATATATATATATATATGTATACACACACACACATACACATTTATAACCTATATATATATATATATATATATATTTGAAGCCACTTCTAGTAATTTTTAAATCGGTCCCAAAAAAATATTTGTTTCGTTCTTTAAAAGCCGCCCTATCGGGTGACATTTGAGCTAGCTCATGCGGAGGGCTCTGGCTTGGGTGCCTTTGGCTTGTTTTGGAGTTTTAGAGTTCCTAAGTCTCTGCATATTCTCAGCATTGGAAGATCTATTGGCTGGCGTTGATCTGAGTTTTCATTTGTACAAAATTTTCTTTTACTCGCTGCAGTTTTTGCTCTTATTCATTGCAATCTGGTCCTCTGTGGAGATTTCTTTTTGTGAGGCATCCTGATGCCGTCTGTGATAGTCAACAATATACTACAGAAGAACTCAAAATTAATCGCTGCATTGAAGTTTTGCATTAATATTTAAGATCATCTTTTGAAAGTCCAACGATGATTCATCTGCCACCACTTAATTTGAAGGCAATTTGATGTGCGTGGGTCCTTATTTTCTGTACGGACAACTATTTTTATTTCTTGGGTGACTTTTGCTGGATTTCGCAATTAAATTCAATTATTTTCAAATTTATTTTCAAGTTATAACAATTCTTATCGTACAAAAATTACGTCGTAAAAATCACGTAAAATTCGCCGAAAATAATCGCAGTAATTAAAACTTGGGAGTCCGAAATTTCTGTAACATGAGCTATTGAAAGTTAAAGAGTTTTGTCCCTTTGATTGAAAAAGGTGTACCAAAATGACATTCAAATTTATTACATAGATGTTAAAAAAGTGAGATATTTTTTTATTAAAAGCTATATTATGAAAAAAAAAAACAACACTTATATAATTAAATTTTGCTCTGTTCAAAATATACTCGTTTGGCTTTTATTAATGCAGCACAAATTTTGTCATTCGTGGCAAATTTTCTCAAAGTATAAGTTTGATAATTGATTCTATTCTTTTTTCAATGATTCACTTTTACGTGTTAATTTTTTTTGTATTTTTTTTACTCTTCTTTCAATTTCATCCCATGCTAATTCTAGGGTGGCTTTAAAATTTTGAACTGTAGTATATAGCTTAGAACTGTAGCTTAAATCTTTTGAACTGTAGTATATATATATATATATATATATATATATATATATATATATATATATATATACTTAGAACTGTAGCTTAAATCTTTTGAACTATATATATATATATATATATATATATATATATATATATAAATTAATTGATTTACAATATGTTTTTTTTCGCTACAGAGTTCTAACCATGTTTCAAAAATGAACTGTGTAGCGAAAAAAACATATTTTAAATCAATTAATTTATAATATTAATGCTCTGTAAATTTACATCAAGCCCTATTTTTTAAAAAATAAAATATCTATAAGAACACCGGATTATATATCTTACTTTTCTTTCTTTTTTTTTATTTATATATATATATATATATATATATATATATATATATATATATTCAAATCAAAGCTTAAATCTTTTGAACTGTAGTATATATATATATATATATATATATATATATATATATATATATATATATACTACAGTTCAAATGATTTAAGCTACAGTTCTAAGCTATATACTACAGTTCAAAAATATATATATATATATATATATGTGTGTGTGTGTGTGTGTGTGTGTGTGTGTGTGTGTGTGTGTGTGTGTGTGTGTTTTTTGTGTTTTCATTTAAGCAAGTTTGGTTAAATAATTTACACGTATTATATCTATTTATTTTAGTTTTAATCATTTCAAGTCCACGGATTAATTTCTTGGTGGTTATAAAAAATTGATTAAGATAAATTCCAAAATTTTCTTTCAAATAATCTTTATTTTCACAAGTACTTTCAGTTTCATCTGTGACCATCTTCAGGGGTTTCAAATATCTGTGAATGTGTATACAGTAGCTCCGTAATTTCAAAATATTTTTTTCACCGTTCGTTTACTGCGTTTCAAATTGGAAATATTTTTTCAGTTATACAAGGGATGTCACTCTTGTAATTTTTTTATTTTTAAAGAAAGGCTTTTTTTAAATTATAATATTTTAATTTAGTATTTTTCTATAAAACTTTGCTGCTACAAACATTTAAGAAATGTGTTGTTATACTTATAGTTTTGACCGCAATTCTCTCCGAGAATTTTAAGTTTTTGTTCATTATTATTCGTATGAAGTACTAATGTATTTCTTATGAAGTACTAACGTATTTCTAATGTATTCTTATGAAGTACTAAGTACTAAGTATTCTTATGAATGTACTAATTTTTTTCTAATGTGTGAATGTGGACATGAGTGTTCCTTTAAATGTTGTGAGATTGAACTATGCTCATTCAAGTGAAAAGTATGACGTAGACATCGTTATATATATATATATATATATATATATATATATATATATATATATATATATATATATATGTGTGTGTGTGTGCATGTGTGTGTACACGCGTGCGCAATTATACACGTGCGACAATGTTTAACCTTCGAACTCAGCAAAGCCAAAAAACAATAAAAACGGTGTGTCTAATGGATGTTTGCTCTCATGACACAGCTATTACTTATGCTCGGCAATGTTTATTGTTTTAAAAAATAAACAATGATTAGAATTAATAATAAAATTAAAACACCTGGAAATGGATTCATACATTTTCGCTATACTTGAGAGCTGAGAGCAGATATATTAAATACTATTTATGAAGCTTCGTTTCGTAGTTATTTAAAATGGTAAATAATAGATATTGCATTTTAGTTGGTTTACATTCTAATCAAACCATCTCTTTTAAAAACAATAAACGTTTCTGGGGGACTCGAAAGTGTAATAAACAATAGAAGCGTCAAGGGAATAACCGTTCTTTTAACATACGGTTTTGTTTTGTTTTTTTTGTTTTTTTTGCGAGCACAAAGTTTAAACATTGCTGAATGTTCTTAGATTAAGATATTTTTAAAGGTTCTGATACGTGCCTTGTTTCCGGACAGTGTCTGATCAGAAATAAGACATTTTAATGACTTGATAGATTCGTGTCTATATGTATCCATTGTATTTATCTGACGGTTTTCGAGTGCCGCGTCTTCACTCGTAGATTGGTGTTGCGACTTCACGCGTAGATTGGTGTCGCATCTTCGCCAGTAGATGGGTGTCGCATCTCGCCCGTAGATGGGTGTTGCCTCTTCGCCCGTAGATGGGTGTTGCCTCTTCGCCCGTAAATTGGTGTCACCTCTCGCCCGTAGATGGGTGTTGCCTCTTCGCCCGTAGATTGGTGTCAGGTCTCGCCCGTAGATGGGTGTTGCCTCTTCGCCCGTAGATTGGTGTCGCCTCTTCGCACGTAGGTTGGTGTCGCATCTTCGCCTGTAGATTGCGTCGCCTCTTCGCCCGTAGATTGGTGTCGCCTCTTCGCCCGTAGATTCGTGTGATCTCTTTCGCCCGTAGACTGGTGTCACAGCTTCGCCCGTAGATTGGTGTCGCGTCTCGCCCGTAGATGGGTGTTGCCTCTTCGCTCGTAGATTGGTGTCGCGTCTCGACCGTAGATGGGTGTTGCCTCTTCGCCCGTAGATTGGTGTCGCGTCTCGACCGTAGATGGGTGTTGCCTCTTCGCTCGTAGATTGGTGTCGCCTCTTCGCCCGTAGATTCGTGTCGCCTCTTCGCCCGTAGATTGCGTCACGTCTCGCCCGTAGATGGGTGTTGCCTCTTCGCCCGTAGATGGGTGTTGCCTCTTCGCCCGTAAATTGCGTCACCTCTCGCCCGTAGATGGGTGTTGCCTCTTCGCCCGTGGATTGGTGACACGTCTCGCCCGTAGATGGGTGTTGCCTCTTCGCCCGTAGATTGGTGTCGCCTCTTCGCCCGTAGATTGGTGTCGCCTCTTCGCCCGTATATTGGTCATCGCCTCTTCGCCCGTAGATTGGTGTCGCCTCTTCGCCCGTAGATTCGTGTGATCGCTTCGCCCGTAGATTGGTGTCGCGTCTCGCCCGTAGATGGGTGTTGCCTCTTCGCTCGTAGATTGGTGTCGCGTCTCGACCGTAGATGGGTGTTGCCTCTTCGCCCGTAGATTGGTGTCGCGTCTCCACCGTATATGGGTGTTGCCTCTTCGCTCGTAGATTCGTGTCGCCTCTTCGCCCGTAGATTCGTGTCGCCTCTTCGCCCGTAGATTGGTGTCACGTCTCGCCCGTAGATGGGTGTTGCCTCTTCGCCCGTAGATGGGTGTTGCCTCTTCGCCCGTAAATTGGTGTCACCTCTCGCCCGTAGATGGGTGTTGCCTCTTCGCCCGTAGATTGGTGTCACGTCTCGCCCGTAGATGGGTGTTGCCTCTTCGCCCGTAGATTGGTGTCGCCTCTTCGCACGTAGGTTGGTGTCGCATCTTCGCCTGTAGATTGGTGTCGCCTCTTCGCCCGTAGATTGGTGTCGCCTCTTCGCCCGTAGATTCGTGTGATCTCTTCGCCCGTAGACTGGTGTCACAGCTTCGCCCGTAGATTGGTGTCGCGTCTCGCCCGTAGATGGGTGTTGCCTCTTCGCTCGTAGATTGGTGTCGCGTCTCGACCGTAGATGGGTGTTGCCTCTTCGCCCGTAGATTGCGTCGCGTCTCGACCGTAGATGGGTGTTGCCTCTTCGCTCGTAGATTGGTGTCGCGTCTCGCCCGTAGATGGGTGTTGCCTCTTCGCTCGCAGATTGGTCTCGCCTCTTCGCCCGTAGATTGGTGTCGCGTTTCGCAGATTGGTGTCGCCTCTTCGCGCGTAGATTCGTGTCGTTTATTGTTTTTTTTCTATTAATATCTTCCACGCGTGAATTGGTAATGATTCATCGATTTTTATATCATCATCATCAACATCACAATCAGTCGCATGATGATTGGAATTAATAATAAAATGAAAACACATGGAATTGGATTTGTCCATTTTCTTTATCCTTGAGAACTGACAGCAGATATATTAAATACTATTTATTAAGCTTCTTTTCGGAGTTATTTAAAATGGCAATTAATAATCATTGCATTTTAGTTGGTTTGCATTCTAATAATCCCTTTTAGAAACAATAAACGTTGCTGGGGCAGTCAAAAGTGTAATAAACAATAGAGGCGTCAAGGGAATAACTGTTCTTTTTCAGACACCTTTTTTTTCTTTTATGTGTTTGCGCACACGAATGTTAAACATTGCTGAACATTTATTGGCCTTTATATTTTCTTTATTCTTGAGAATTAACAGCAAAGTTATTAAATATTAATTTATTAAACTTCTTTTCATGGTTATCTAAAATTGTATGGAAAAAAATATTTCATTTTATTCGGTTTAAATATTTTGGTAATTTTGTAATTTTTATACATTCTTGAATAAAAGGAATTATCAAATTAATTTCTTTAAAAAATGGTAAATTGCAATTGGTTCCCAAATTTTTATAATCTTGTAAATAAATTTTTCCGAGGGAGTCAAAAGTGTATACAGTAATAGCGGTGTCAAAGAATAACCGTCCTTTTGACACACTAATTTTTTTCTTCTTTTTTTTTTCTTTTTTTTGTGAGCACAAAGGTTAAACATTGCCGAATGATCGTAGTTTAAGACTTTTTCCTCGGATCTGATAGGTGACTAGTTTCCGGAGAGAGTCTGGTAAGAAAGTGTCCAGCTCCATATATAATTTTTAAAAATAAATTGTCATCCGAGGAAAAATAGAAAAAACGAAATCACCAGAAACCTCCGAACAGGGCGAAAGAAATTGTCCAGTACCTTAAATCTCTGGTACAAAGTAAAAAACAGCGAATAATAAGTTAACACGAAAAGTATTCAGTACGCAAAATAGAGCAAAAGTAAAATAAATAAAACCTAATGAACCAGGTACTAACTACCTAAGATTCACCACATGGGATCATCTGGGAGATATATATATATATATATATATATATATATATATATATATTTGAATGAAACCTGTCGTGTAATTTATTGGGGTTATTGTAACGTCTTCCTTAATGTAGTCCTTATCGCTCACCCCTTAACCACCTTTATCTAGAGACGAGACGCGTTAGATTTGAGCAACATCCAGCCGACACACTGGGGTTAAAAATAAAACTAAAATGATACATATGACACACTCATATCCTCTCTCCCACCTCACTTCCTCACTTCGTTAACTTTGCGTATACTTGATG